GGTTGGGAGTTGTAGTGCAAAGCCCATTGAGGGTGCCTGGTCCTGGAGGTGGTTTTCAAGTTGGAACTATGTTTTGACCCTTTGCCGAAAGGAGATGCCACAAGTGTGTGTGTCGGGAGGGTGTCTTTTCAGTGCCAGATACAAGGTGCTCTCTTGACCCGGGGAGCCCAATCCCTCTCCGCCCACCCCTAGAAAAGGGGGTCTTCCCCTCATCCTCTCCTTGCAGAACCCCTTTTCCTTCCTCTTTGCTCAGAGAGTCGGAACCAACTCTCTCTGAAGGGACCCTGGAGCCAAACACTTGAAGAGTTTTACTTCTCTGGGCCCCTGACCACCACATGGCTGGAATGGTCATTTTCACCATTCCAGAGGCGAGACCCTCCATCCCAACCAGGGAGGGGTGTTGCTTTACTTGCCAACAAGCAGGACACGCACGCCTGTTTGTTGGCATCAGGCTGCAATAAGCTCAGGGGAAGTGGCAGGTTGGGGCACCTAGGAGAATATCCTACACCCGTTTAGCGGACAGACTAAGAGCCCTGGAGGTGGGGAAGATGGGGAGTGAGAGGAGCTGGTTCTGGGTGAAACATCCACTCTGAGGAAAAGATCACCAGCTAGAGAAAGGAGTCTCTGAGCTTAGTGGGAAGGACAGTGTGTGGTGTCCTGGGAGAGTAAATCAGGCCAGGAATGAAGTGGGAGGCTGAGCCAGGAGAAGGAGGAGCTGGAAAGAAGACCGGCTGCTGAGCTCTCATCCCAGTCAGGAGGGGAGAGATCCTTCTAGAAAGAGAAGACTCCCAAACCAGAGATCCCTTGGGTCTTTGGCTTGGGTACCTCGGGAGTAGAGTAACTGGCAGAAAGTGCCACCTTGTTAAGAGCCAAAGTCTTAAGTGTGAAACAACTGAGAAAACCTTGAAGGGAAATAACATTGTAAACTGAACTATCCTAAGTTTTATCCACTCATGTCAAAAACTTCCTTGTTAAATAAAATTGTTAATGTTTATTTGAAGAAATCCTGCCTGAGACTCCCAATTAGTGAGTTTTACCTCACGCAAGTCCCCCACAAGATAATCTGAGGTAGTTGGAGGGCATTTGTGAAAATTGTGTTCTGTGAGGTGGGTGCACTATATTTAGGAGAGAGAATGGGCCCAAGGCTGCCAGGGGGAAAAGAGCCCTTGCGTCGTCGCATATTAATTGGGGGCAGAGGTGGGATATGAAGTTAAAACCCACACAGATCCTATTTAGTTTTGAGCGGACTGGCAGACTTAAACATTCATGAGGAAAACTGGGTGCTGCACTTACGCCCACAGAGATGTGGAATTTTGAGTGAAATCTACCCAGATCTCAGAGAGGATGAAACCTCTGATTCCCTCACATTTAAAGAGAGAGTGAAAGTGCGCTTTGGACTGACTGCAGAACAAAGCCAAAAAGCCTTTCGTGAAATTCAAAGGAAACCAGGAGAGACTTAGGCCCAACTGGGTAGCCGAATTGACCAAGCTCTGGACAGATGGGAGGAAAGTTTGATGAGTGAGCTCAAACACCTCATCAGTTTAGAGGAATGTTTCAAGAGGTTCCTGCTCATTTAGGCTGAAAACAGTAACTGAAGTCTCTACCTTGGGAGATGAAATCAAAGGAGACTTAGGGGGAGCAGTAATACTCAGTCCTTCCAGAAAAAAGCAACCCAGGGAGGAAGTGGGGTCTCAAAACGACAACCCTGAAGGGTGGGCCCAAGGGTGCCGGGGGGAAAAGAGCCGTGATACGAAGTAAAAACCCACACAGAAACGTACCCAGAGACACAGAACAACCAGTTTAATAAAGGAGTGAAGTTCTTTGACTAAAAAGAGAGAAAATTCCTGTCAGAAAATGACCAGCAAGCGCCAAGCCAGAGAGACTCAGATGACCCAGCTGCTGCGTCTGAGGAGAATCCTAATATATTGAGTTAGAGATGATGAGGCTAAGATTGGAATTGTCTAAGGTTGAAGCAGAGAAAGAAAGAGAAGAGGCCAGAATGGCAGCTGCCCTTCATCTAGCAGAGATACAGGCAGAAAGA